TCTGTAAGTGTAGACTAATACACTTTTCACAATATTTATCAGAGTATCTTGTTGTTTTACAATTATTGCATTCTCTTGGTTCACCATATTTATGAATTGCATTATTTAATTCAAACCAATAAATAAAGTTTTCTCTGGAAAACTCCTTTTCATTTTCTAATAGTTTTTGGTTTTCTTTGACTAATTGTAAACAATAACTTTTATAATTTTCTCTGTCAGAAATAGTTGGAAAAGCAGAATAAGCAATACTATTCATTTCATTGTTAATTTTAACTACTAAATCTTTTCTGTCTTGTGTTAATAAATCAATGAAGGACATTTTAATTTTTTTTAAATTTATAAAAAAAATTTTTTTATTTTACACAACATTACTTTTTGTGGTATTTTTGCAAAACCTAAAGATTTTAATTGACGATCCCGTCTATAAATGGGTCTCGAAGACGCAGTTTACTGTGCCTCGGAGGCAATAAAATCCATACAGTCATGTGACTTTCAAAGCTGTCTGGTCACGGGACCACATACTATCATTCCATAAACGGGAGAAATCGGCAATATAAAAATGAAATACTATTAGTACAACCTTGTCTTATAAAATTCTAATTTTTTTTTTATAAATCGATAGTTATTAAGGTTAACTTGAAGACTGTTCATTTAGTTATCCTTAAATTAACAAAAACATATAGTGAGGACAAGTATTCGTAACTTTACTTATAAATTCGCAACATGTGTTGAACTTCGCGTTACCTTTCCAGTAAACTTTATTAACAAAAGTTATCAAAAGCACACCGTTCAAAAGCCTTAATCCCAGAGAGTATATATACAAAGTTTTGTTTAATTTACAAGAAGTTTTGTTTTGTTCACCGCGGTCTTGTGATTTTTTTCCATGTACTGTGTAACTGAACTCTACATTACACCGTTCTTTTATACTTTTGTTAATTGAGTGGAATCTGAATTTTGTAACCCTTAGATTTACATGTTAGTTTTTAAATTAATATTTCTAAGGTTTTAAATATTTTTTGAAGTTTTTATAAATACTAAACCTGATTACTTATATAAAATAT